AGCACTATAGAAGACGTAATTATACAAAATGTAGTGCTTTCCATTCAATTTTCATAAAAAATAATTGTCGGGTCATTCAGTGGAGAGAATAATATTTATTGGTCTACTACTTACGAATATGTTGTTAATATCATCATCATCAGAGGCTGAACAGCCCCTTGTGGGCCCTACGCTCCTCTAGTCGTTTCCGCCATTGTGATCTGTCCCGTGCTTCCTGCTTCCAGTTTTGGACGGCCAAGATTTCCAGGTCCTTAGCAACTCCATTCCACCAGCGGAGCCTCGTTCTCCCGGGCTTTCGTTTACCACCTGGTTGCGAGTTCAGCAAGGACTTTGGTGTTCTTTCATCCGCCATTCTGTTTACATGTCCCAGCCACTTAAGTCTGTTGCTTTTAATGAATTGGACGATATTGGTTGATAATGTTGTATTGCTCTTCATTACATCGAACTCGCCAAACACCGTCAACACAGAAAGGGCCGAAGATCCTTCTGAGTATCTTTCGCCAGAAGATTACGAGAGGTGGGGGCCCAGGTTTCAGAGGTGTAAGACAGTAAATACTTTCGATGTTGTCTAATATAAGTTGGTAAAATTTACAATAACGATAGGGATAAATGTCTTCGAATTATACTAGGCGCAAATACATCTTCAATGTCATGTATAAGCGGCATAATCAACGTTATTTATTTTTCAGTCAGTCCACTTAATTTTGCTGTATCTTCAAATGTAGAAGATGTTAAATCCAATACATTTTCATCTGAAAACTATTTGAGTTTAAGCTGCCCTTTTGGAATGTTCAATTTTCTAGTAAGTATATAATTGTAAATCATATTACTGTATTTATTCTATGATAGAGGAGCACGAAGGATGGGAGGTGATATAATTCAGATGTAACATCTCAATAATGTACATTGTCCAGACATTTTGCCTTTGGATATTCGGACATACAAAGACTGAAACCAAAACGCAATTAAACTTTTTATTTGGGTGGTTGGTGACCTGGAATTGCGATATTCATACCGCACATTTAATATCCAGGTTTCCAGGCGAAATCCAACATGTTTCACAAAAAATAGACATTGATAAGACCCAGTGGTGACTGAATCCACGACATTGTTGCTTTCATTAGACTATTGCATAGACCAAGGAAGCCCGTCAATTTTTGATTTATTATCATTTCTAAATAAACTTTTGATTTTACTAATTCTGTACAGACACAAGAATTCCATTGATTTTTTACAATGTGGACTATGTAACAAATCAATAAATACGCTTCGAACTAAATTTATTTGTATTTTACCTGTCTATTAGTTTAAAAATCAATTATAAATTGAAAAAATTTTCGAAGGGCAGGACTTAAACGGCATCGTCAGCGATTTTTAAATTATATATCGCCTTCATGTGCAAATGTAAAAAATATTAAAGTTTTCAAACATTATTTTTTAAGCTCTTACCACAAAATTAATGTTTCAGTTCCCCTTTTGCTAACATATCTGCTCCTGGACTATAATCCGAATTATGTAAGTAAAAATCAAATTGTATTACAGAGGTGAGAGGTGATTGGTTTGGGTGACAGACATTTTTTGTCTTGTTTTTTAAATTCGAACCTTCCGGGCCTCCCAATTTTTTTTATTACCTTTCTATGTTTTTTTTATTTTCTGTGTTTTTTTCTAGCACGCCTGAAATTACCAAACACGGAACAAACTTCATTAAACACTTCACATAATTTATAATTGTTATATTCTTCATCAATTCTATTCTATAGATATTAATTAAATATACTAGCTGACCTGGCAGACGTTATTGTGCCATATAAAATTTTATTACCATAAAAACGATTCTTGTGAGTTAATATTAAAAGATATAAACATAAACTGTCGATTTATTTTTTTAAGGAGAAATAATTCTAACATACACATTTTTTGGGTATATCGAACCGTTTTCGCAGCGTACGAAATGGAACCCCTCAAAGATGAATAATTGTCCCCGTTTTTTAACATTTTCCACTGTTTATCTGCTCGTAGTATGATCTTATATGGCCTAAAGCCTTCTTCGATAAATACTTCATTCAACATAAAAGAGTATCAATTCAAAAACTAGTAGTGTTTCTGAGATTAGCGCGTTTAAACAAACAAACGTTTCATAATTATAAATTTGAAGAGTGTGTCTGTACAGTTACATTTACATTTTTACAGTCAAGTATAATGTATATAACAATAGAGCCTTTTTGTAAAAACCTTTATAGCCGATTTTATCAACAAAAGATTCCCTAAAGAATATTGCTTATTTTATCAAGGTAACCTTCCTTTGAAGATAAGTTTCTTAGCCGCACTGGGTGATAGATTCGCATAATAGGGGTATTTCGAATACAAAGCAAGAATATTGGCTGCATCCGAAACGGAATCTAATTTAAAAATAAATGGCCATCTGCGTAAGATATTTAGTTCTAGAGAATACAGTAGTTGTGGGATTTGAAGAAGGCTTTGCGTATCTTTACTTTCAGCCAGCTTTTCTCATTGTATTGTGATTGTTTATTTTTGGTGTCAATGTTAACCTGTGTATCGGTTGGTAAACGATGGCATTGGTAGAAAGTAGGTTTAAAATAAATATTGAGCTTTCATTATATGTTTATAAGGCAAACAATAATAAGAATACATCGGCTATGGGAAATGGCGTGAATTTCAATGGATATTTCACTGATATTTTTTTATTTACAGCGACTTGATAACGGGTGTTACGTACGAACAAACCATTTATTCTTATTACCCAGGATTTGAAACGTGGACCCACTGTGCTTGGCTAAAGTGTTTTATTAAATAATACCATTATTGCATTATACCTACTAAGGTTTTTCACCTCTAACCGCCTTTGTGATTCAAAGGTTAAATTGCGTTAAGTTTCAGAGAGATAAGTTTCTTTTAACAGTTTATAACACGAAATGTATTAGTAAACTTTTTACAACTTACTTAATTACGGCTCGATGTAGTGAAATAAATTTGGCCTGCCACGACCATATCTGCTGCAAAGCATTCGTAGTCATGTTGGTCATCGTGGAATAAAATAAATTGTAAATAACTAATGCATTACGCGTTTAAAACCATTAAAAGTGTTTTATTTAAAGTTTCTAACTATAAATCTTAAATTGTAATTTTTAATACATTAAAAATCTATTTAGACCAATTGATAATAATTGTAATTGTAGTAATTGGTTAGAGCAACTGCATTGAGATTTTTTATTTTAAATGTTTTTTTTATTTATTTAATGACGATAGCATAGTGAATAATAATAACGTACATAACTACGTTTAAATGAAGATGTCACCTTTGTATTTCATTGTATTAGTCATATTTCGATTAGGATGTGAAATGACGCAAAAAGTGGTCTTAAGCTCCAACATCTGTGAGGACAAATCTCATTTGCGTTTACTACACTTTTCCTATGACCCTCTGAGGAATATAGGATTGGATGTTGAGGTTGCCCCTAACCTTTTTATGCTTTTTATATATAGATAGTGATAATAGCGAAATTGTATTTCGCACACTTTGCTATTTATTTTATGTAGGCGTAAAAATTTCAGATTTACAATATACAATCCTTAGCAAGATTTTCTTATAAACCGTTATATAGTGCTATGGATTATATAGTATGTTATCATCTATTATGAGAAAAGATTATCTATAATAATATTATTGAGTTGAAGAGTTCGTCTGTTTGTTTTAACACTGATCTATAGAACAACTGGTTCAAATTAAAAATATTTTTGTGTTGGTTAGAACTTTTTTGTGCAAAGTTTATGTTTAAAATATTACGCTATTCACCAATGGGGTCGCAATAGCGGTAAATGAGGAAAAAACGCGGAAAATAATTCATCTTTGAGGGTTTCCGTTGCGTGCGCGCGAACACGGTTCAAGATTAAGAACGAATGATTTCTTATCTTTTCGTAAAAAAATGCCCCGAGCAGTTTATCTTTTAAGATTACCTTGCAAGAACGATGGGACACGACCGACGACGTGGGTAACAGCTAATATAAGCTACAGCTACAGCTACAAATTTTGATGCTGACAATAACTACGCGGACAGAAATCACTGGCATAGCTAATGTCTATAATGGAAAAATTGGTAAATGTAAAAAAGATACATTATTATTTATAATATTTTTTATTAGAACCCATACGTACACATACTTAGACCATAAATACACACTTTTATACAGATAAGTTAAACGCATTATATAAACATGCACAACATTTTTAAAACATGAAGTTTAAATTTGACTAATACTTAAGCAAGTACTAATTTACCTATCTTTACGACAGTTAAACTGGTTTAAATCAGAATATAAGATAGTAAATATTTTTAAAATTCCGTGTCCTAATGTAGCAAACTATAGTGCTCTCCAAACTTTTTGGCCGGACTGAAGTAAGCGCGGATTGTTGCGCAGAACGCAAAAAGCAGGTATCAGTCGCGACGAGAGGGGTGCGCGGGTGCGGGGCGACTCGACTTTTTCCTTAAAATTGACAGCACCATGTGCAAGATGGCGGTCGCGATAAATTCAGCCGGCCAAAAAGTTTGGATAGAACTGTACAACTCTTATATAAAGACGATGAATAGTTCAAACTTTCCCGACTTTCGAGTTTCTTGAACCTTCGTGTTTTGAGTTCTCTTCTGTTCTGTTCTATGAGAACATAATTCTCAATTCCGACGGCAAAACAGGTCGAAACCTCAAGAAGCTTATCTTTAGAGGAGTTACCTATTTACTCAATTGGAAAACTAGGAATACAAAAACTTTACTAAAGTTTTTCAAGACAAGGATTTTTGAGTATTAATGACAGCCTCTTTTGCATTTTCTTCATTTAATATTATTTACATAAGGAGACATTGTACCAAGAAAATTGTGAAATACCCTAACGAAATAAAATATTAGTTGAAAATATTTCACTAAGTCATAAAAGTTATTTTACATAAATGGTACAAATTACTTTATTAGACTACTGTGGTCCACTTTTATCTTCTTGAAAAGTATCGGCCGTAGAAGTAACGAGGGTAGACGGGACCTGAAAAAAGAGAAGTAATGTTCAATTTATTTGATTAAAAGAGTCCATATATTATATAAAAGTGACATTCATATACATATTATGAATAAAACTCCACATAGTTTTTTATCATATTTAAATAAAGCACTATATACTAGTTAAACTAGTTTTGAAAATTATTTTAACTACGACCGGACGTTTCGGATGCTTCGCAGCACGGTCACGGGGAGACATATATATCGCCTTTTAAACCGTTAAAGTTTTTTTTTAATGTGTACTACTCGCGTACCTAAACTACAGACGGATTTAAGTTCTTCATACTTCAAACCATTTAAGTAAAATTATAATAGTGTCTTTTCATTGGCATAATAATTTTATGGTTAGTTGCTGTTGTTCGTCTCGATTTTTTCACAAGCATGGAGATAATTTGATGGAAGGTAAAATACTCCAGCCATATAACATCTAACTTAGACGCGCTGTCGATCTATTTTGGCTTTGGATATTCGGAAATCCACTCGAATCGCGATTCACTTCACGGCTTTTTCGCCTGTGGACGGTGGCTCGTGACCTGGATGGAATGTCGATTACCACCCATTTAATTTGCAGTTTTCCAGACGAAATCCAACACGTTTCAGAAAAATTAGGAATTGATAAGAAACATGTTGGGCCTGGTAGGGATCGAATTCACGACCTGTTGATTATTAGCCATACATTGCCCATATTAGACAAACGAGCGCGTCTCATCGTGAATCTTAAAATGTTGTCTTCGAAATAAGAAAGAAGTATCTTTAAATAAAATTCCATATCGTATATCGTCCATATATATAATCGTTTTTCTATTTATGACAGAATCGAAAGACTGTTCATAGTACGTGTCATGTCGTTTTGTTGTCATTGTTTATTTGAAGGGTTATATCGCGTCGGATTTCACGGTTAGGAGTGAAATGCACAAAGTTTCCTTTTGTGGCGTTTCTCATAACTTGATTTGTAGCGCAACCCTTCAGCTGAGTTCCGGAGAGGCGCCGCTGTGGCGAGACGTCGCAAGTTCCGACTTACGCGCTGACCATATTTTAAGTAAAATCAAGGAATTATCGCCTCAATGACGTAAAGAATTTTGTGGCCCTACAGCGTAGTTGGAAGTTAGTATTAGTAATTGATTATCGTATCCTACGTATCTTGTACTACTTTCGCATTAGAACTATTTTTCGTAGCGCACGCAATAGAAACCCACAAAGATAAATAATTTTCCGCGTTTTTTTCATTGTTTTTTCACTCCTATTAGTCACAGCGTGATTTTTAATGACCCAAAGCATTCCTTGAAATTTATTTTAACAAACATAAATAGTATTATTCAATTCTAATTAGTAGTTCCTGAGATTTTCACGTTAAAACAAACAAATAAACTCTGCAACTTTATAGTAGTATAGATTATATGGATGTTATGTTTTGACTTGCATTAGTATAAATTTAATATAGCAATTATAAATGTAATTTTCTTAATTTTTAAATCATATCTGTTAAAACTATTCTTAGTTAGTACTAATATACTTAAGTCTTAAAACAGTTAAAATGTATCCCATAAATAAAGAAAAATATGGCCACCCTAACATCAGAAGGCACGCCTCATGACAAGACGTCGAGATACTTCTAAAATGTTACATGTGATTTCTTTTGCTCGTACAAAACCGAACAGACAACATCGGTTCACACGCTTTAAGCATTTTTCATTTCACTGTACATTTTTAAAGTTTTTAAATAAGACTGCATTTTGGGCAAAATTATTTCAAATCTTTTTTGTATTGTATTTTGAGCTACATGTCACACATATCACGTTGTGGATAGGATGAAGGGAAAGTATCTTTTAGGGTAAGAAATGACAACTCCCAATGTATGCAAATAATCTAGTTCCTCACTCTTTATCTTACAAAGCTATTCATATACTCCAAAACCTTACTTTATACTACTTTCCAACATTTTAACTATAATTATGATTCTATTTAACTTTGCTACAATATACAACAAATTTAATCTGACCTTTTTACAAAATAAAATTTTATAAAAAAATATATAATTAAAAATAATAAAATAATTAATATTGATGTAAGTTTTACTTCAAGTTTTACTACGTAAAAGAAGCTAGTACTTAAGATTTTTCCTCATTAATGTGTATTTTCTGTGGTGTGTTTTATAATTATCACAGCAATAATAAATAAATATACTAGTTGTTCTTAATAATGTGCATATTAAATACTGTCTGTAGTTTACGCGAGTAGTACATATTTAAACAAAACACTTCAACGGTTTAAAACGCGATATATTTTATTTAAGTCTTCCCGTAACCACGACTGCTGCAAAGAATCCGAAACATCGGACCGTAGATAAACGTAGTTAATTCAAACAAGTTTAACTAAAATGAATCGCGTTTTAAACCGTTAAAGTGTTTTATTTGAATGTGCATATTAAATGACCTTAGGGCTATCATAAGATTTTCTAAGGCTTTTGGAATTCCATTAATCTATTTGCATATGTTTTGCCGTATGTTTAGAAAATGTTTGAAATTACATTAATTTATGTTAGTTTTCCTAAAGTTTTGTATAAACATGAATTTGTAAGTTAAAGCCTCATCGTGTAATCGGTTACTAAGGTCACTAATCATAATAATAATTATAAAGACAGTAAAATTATCATTCCAAGATGAACAACATATCACGCTCAATGCAAAAGTTATTGAGTGACGGAAATAGGACTACATATTGTTATAATATAACATTGAAATTTTGTCGTAATTGAATTATGATTCAAAGGTATTTTAGAAAAACCTTTGGCACAGGCGGCACTTGACCCCACTACCGAACCTTAAAATATAACCGTTGTTAATTTACGTATCTAATGACCGCATTGACAACGTAATATAAAAATTAAAATTATATTAAACTATTATGTTGTATTAGAGTTGTTAAAATATATTATACAGTATTATTATTTTAAACATTTAGCAACAGTATTACACAAAGACCGAAATGTGAAACCTTAGTGTTCGTAGCTCTATTTTAAGAAAATTGCTTTTTTCAGTTAAATAAAGAAGAAGGACACTTTTTTCAACTATAGTACAGTTCATCTAGGTTAACTATATTAGATAACTACATACTTAATTTAAGTTGCTAACTAAAAGTTAAACTACGGCAAATCGAGACAGAACCTCTAAATAAATGAATTAAATACTAATATGGTAGGCAGGTAGGTCTGGTACCTACAAAAATCCCTAGAGAAATTATTATATTTTTGTTACAAAACATCTATTTAATTAAGTATTTTATTTACCATTCGTTCGTCCTTAAATATATATATACAAAACATAAGAGACATTTATACTCTCGCATTTATGTTTTAAATAAATATATCGTAACATAATTGTATATATTCATGTACAACTAAAACGAACAGCAGTTTTACATACTAACAATAACCTTAAGACAACGCCTACGTCATTAAAATACATTCCAGTTCGCTTAGCTGCTGTATGCTTTTTAATTTTTTAACCGGTTCAAATTTCCGTATAAGATAATTCTCAATTAAAGTACATAATATGTACTTTATATTATAAAGTCTGTTTGATTTAGTAGCAAGTGCATTTTATATCTTTTCTATGAAAGAGGACGACAGACAAGCTGGTGTAAACTAACCCATTCCTCTTCTTTCAAATGATTTCCTATATAATAAGAATATTTATATATAAATTCGTAAAATCCTTGTCTCAGATACATTAGACACATTTCTGTGTCTATTCTTCTTCTTTAAGCTTCATTGTTTTATATCATATGTCATACATATTACTAAATTGTTTATCACTGTAAGTTGTTAAGTTTTCCAAATCTATACTAATATATAAAGCTGAAGAGTTTGTTTCTTTGAATGCGAAATTCTTAGAAAATACTGGTTCAAATTGACAAATTATTTTTGTGCCCGCATGTGACAAATAGGAGCAAAGAAACAGCGGGAAAACGATCCAAAAACGGTTCAAGATACCAAATATGTATTGAAGAATGATTCCTCCTTAAATGGTCTAATGCTGAAGAGGACGAGATTTGCAAAAACAAATTTGGATGCCCAAAATAACTAACAAGAAATAAAAACAAAAAAAAAATTCACTAATGGATTGTTCGACTGATTTATTATCGGAAATTAAACGAATGCCTTAACGCTTATCATAATTCTAGACTAGCATTGACCACTGAGCATGGCGGGATAATTGCGCTGTTGAGAATAATGTATGTCCGAAAAATACCTGGGAGCGAAAAATCTACGTGCAGTAATTAAACAGAAAACAGAATCGCCCGTCTGCAATGAATAATGTATGCAAAAAATGAATTTTCTCCGTCGCGAATTAATTCAACACTCGCGGTATTCCCTTTTACAAGTGCAAACATATAAATATTCATTAGACACATAACAACGGCTAGAAAATGGTAGAGGCGGTCTCCTACTCCAATTAGAGTCCGAACTCTTTTATTAAATTACAAAATGTCCGCGTCACTGACCTCTGGACTTTTGATATGTCAATTTCATAATTAAAATGCGTTTGACCGTGCCGGGGGGTTTGGGGGGATTAAGATCAAATTGAATGTTTGCCGGTCGAGTTCACACTGAACCCGAAAGTATGAAGTCATTGAGATATTTTACGAAATATAATTAAATGAGCGGATATGAATAAATGAAGGTTTGTGTTGATTGCTTAGTATGCCCTGTTTTGTTTGGTTTGTTTAATTTTTAGAGTTCCTTAACCAAAGGGTTTAAACGAGATCATTCATCGTAATACTAATATTGAATTTAATAACCTATACTGTCTGTAATTCACGCGAGTAGTTCACATTTAAATAAATCACTGTAACAGTTTAAAACGCGATATAGGTATATTAGTTAATGTTTGTCTCCCCGTGATCACGGCTGCTGCAAAGCATCCAAAACTTCGGACCGTAGTTAAAATATTTTTCAAATAAGTTTAACTTATATATATCGCGTTTTAAACCATTAAAGTGTTTTATTTGAATTTACAAATTTTTATTATTTATGGTTTATATATAAATTGATGTTCGTTGTAGTAGAAGTACTTTAGTATCTTACTTCCCTATTCTTAATTATTTTTATTTATATATATTTTACGATAGAGGAGATCATGCAAACATGGGATTTGATGGAAGAAAAAAATAATCCAGTTATATGACATCTAAACATGAACGCTGTCAGTCTAGCTTTGGTTTTTCGGAAATCCACAGACTAAAACCGCAGCGCGATTAAACTGCACAGCATTTTCATCTGCGTTTGTCAGTTTAAACCTAATGTACGTTAAATAAATTTCGTATGAATAAAGCAAGTTTAAGCCTAAAAGTAACGAATTTCCGCATCCGACTATACTTTTCCTTAATAGTGACAGATGCAAATGTACTCACAGTATTTTATTAAAAAAGGTAATTTTCAATGAGATTTTAAGGACTAAATATTTCTAATTACAAACCATAATTTTTTTTATTTTTTATTTGTGACTTTCTTTGTTTATAATATACGAGAATGGTTGATTGATACATTAGACAAAAAGTTAGTAATAGGTTATTCACAAACCAACTAGAGTTGAACGCACTTTTAATATTACCCTTATATATATAGAGATTTACAATAATAAATGATAATACATTTATTATTGTAAATCTCTATTCTCAAGGTAGCCTGGAATACATCGCTTGATAAGGCCGCCATTTCTAGCTACATTTTGGATTTTTAAATCAAGCTTTATTTTGTAGCATTATGGTGACAATAAAGTATTTTTTGTTTGTTTGTTTGTGACGATGAATTTGTGTAACAGTTATATTAACAATTTTTGGTTCACTCTACTCTTGTAGATTAACATTTTTAGACTAAAATAATATCAATAAGTCCAGTCATAAAATTGCGGTTAGGCTACTCTGCCTCTCGCGGCGACTCGTATACTTTTTTTAATGATCTAGTTACTTTTTACTGAACACTTTCAAACGAAACACGATGTACTTGAAAGCCTCCAATTAGTTAATTATTTCTTTCAATACCGTCCATCACAATGTTAATTATAAAGACTTTATCTGTATGTTTATCTTGTAATGTTATTATAATTAACCAAAAATATACAGCCATACTAATTGAAGCTGTAGAGTTTGTTTGTTTGAAAGCACTAATATCAGGAATTACTAGTTAGAATTGGAAGATTCATTTTATGCTTGTTAGAATATTTATCGGGGAAGACTATATACTATAACATATCTCGCTGTGACAAATAGGAGCGAAGAAAGAACAGGAAATGTGAAGAAAACATTATTCAGAGAGGAACATTATTCATATCTTTGAGGGTTTCCGATGCGTACGCTACGATAACGGTTAACGATACCAATAAAAATGTGCAAAAGAATGATTCCTCTTTAAATGATCTTTTAAGATAACCTTGAAAGAACGACGGGACGCGACTGACGTCGTTAGTAACAGTTTATTAAACTTGAAGAGGATGTTTGCAAAAACGAATTTTGATACCCAAAATAAATATTCTATGCGGACAAAGTCGCAGGCACAGATAGTAATTCATATGTATCAAGGCAAAACAGCAACTTGCTAATATTATTATAATTTGTCAAATTGACAATTATGACGAATATATATGACAAAATAGAAGGAAGTCGGTCTGTAAATCACGTTGATCCGGCATTTTGAAGGCCATCTAATTGCGGAGTAATGCCGGAACTGGGTTTAGGTAGAATATAATATAGCTATATGGCAAGTGAATCATAAACAGCTGTTCTATATAACGAGAGAGATTTTACATCTTTATTTTATTTCAACAGTGTCACATGGCGCTATTATCCCTTTGCCAGATAGAGAAACGTGCATAAGTAATATCATAATAATATAGAAAATGTAAATAATAGAACCAGCTATTTAATTAAGCAATCTTATGAACGATTCGGTAACTTTATTGTTTAGAGCAACGGCACGGAACGCTGACGATGCCGATTCAAGTCCTGCCTGAGTCGAAAAATTTTTCAATATAGAGCCATCATATGCAATAACATGTAAAAAATATTAAAGTTTTCAAACCTTTAAGTAGGCTTAAGGCTGCTGTAAGCAAACAAAACTTCGGCCCGTAGTTAAATAAGTTTTAAAATAAGTTTTGCTCATATATTTCGCGTTTTAAACTGTGAAGTGTTTTATTTAAATGTGTAGTCAGACTTAAGAAGTAACTTAAACGTGAATTTTATCAAAATTGGTAAACTGTAGAAATTAGCTCTTATATAGTTTGATACATTTAATTTACTTTCATAAATCTAATATATTTTAAAATGACACTAAATAATTAAATAATTTTAATTATACAATTCGTCCGTTATAAGTAGGTCACTAGAAACACTTTTTTTCAACAATAAATCAAAACAAGGTATATATTTTATGTATTCGTTATTCAACTTAGCTATTATTTTTAAATTAATATTACTACATATATAGGTATATTGTTATATCACATACATTTTTTACGCACATAGCGTAAAAAATAATCCGTTTTTATTACTTGTTACGTAATAATCAATACAAGTAACGCCAATAAGGTGTAGTAATGAAACAGGAAACAATTCTTAATATTTATTACAAATAAATATTTACATCGGCCATATTTACAGCTTTATGATACAACAAAAAAAAAACAAGTTATGTAACAGAATAATGCTTTTATACAACCAAATAATTTTGACAAAATTCCAATTTTTCGAAAAATAACGGTGGCACAGTCGAACCTTAACTTAAACAGTTGCTCTATTGCTATCGAAATAAATTACAAATCATAAAATCAACAATGAACCAACCAAATACTAAGACAACAAAGTGAATGAGGTGAACAAAAATGAGGGTAGAAAAAAAACACAAAACTTATCTACTTAAAACAAATATCACATTAAATTCGAAATAACAAAAAATGCGTGTTAAGTTGTCTAATCAAAATGGTGGTAATTAACTAAAATATTATCTATTTTTATCGACCGTAATTACCTTGCGAGCCTGGAGGTTGGAAACCATAACCTGAGGCACCGGGAACAACGCCGCTCGTTTGAGATGGATCACCGGGTGGTGATGGTGGGAATACAACGGGACCTGGAAAGAAATACCAGATTAGTTGGTTGGTTTTATGTGGTCAAGTTCTAAATATATGTCAGTGTTTTTGTTTAGTTACATGCCCTAAATTTGAATCCCGGGAAACATGACAAATTCGTTCGATTGGTGGCAAAACGCAAGGAACTCGGAAACGAGCCCAAACCCCCAATTAGAACAACAATGTCCCCTTGTGTGGAACACATATTCATGTATCCATTCACTGATATATGTACTGGTAAGTAGTTGATCTGGTTTCTGTGCCCTAATCGACCGAAACAATATATTGTTTCCCTGGAATTCGAACCTAGAACCCCTTAACGCAATGCTAGGCAACACGTTTTAGCCATTTAGCGACAGAGGTGGTTATAACATAGGACTTTATTTAAATTGGATAGTCAACTAAAACTTTGACACACCTCGCTTTTATAAATAAAGGACGAATGAAAAATGTATGTACCCTACCTAGTAAGATAAAATTCCATAACCAAAGTCAGTGAAAGAATTCTAATTTCAAAATAATCCTGAAAAGTTTTCAAACCACAGACGAAGTTAACAAATCTCGTTCACAAGATCGGGTCTGTAGTTTTTGAAAGTAGATCGCGTTAACAATCATATATTGGATATTGGCTATGCGACCTCCAGCATTCTTAAACAAAAGAATTTTATAAACAAACTATTGTACGCATTGGCTAATTGCTGACTTTCATTGACCTTCGCAGACTGTCAATTACGTGCATATTATCCGTCGACTATTAATTACAGACACTAAATAAGATGTTATATGGCAACATAATGGCTTAGTAGGCGTAATAAGCTAGCTAGTTTTGGCTCAAGGATGTTAATTATCTTTTAAAATTGTTTTAACCTAAAATATACATTAAATATGACACTAAGAATAAACAATTTTAAACCATTATGATGTTAAAAACATGTATACGTTCGTGTTTTAATTAGTCTTTTGAACCTTTGTACATTTATTTCTTATGATAGAGGATAGATGGGACAGACAGGGTTCACTCAATGATAGGTAAAATACCCTAGCTATATAACATCTAAACATTGCGCCGTCGACCTATTTTGGCTTTGGATATTCGGAAATCCACAGACTCAAACCAAAGCGAAAGCTTTGAGACTTTTTCATCTGTGGATGGTGGTTCGTGACCTCGACTGAATATCTATATTCATACCACCCATTTAGTTTATCATCTGTGGTTATTGACATACAAACATAGTTCATATAGACAAATGTAAGTTAAAGCAAATTATTATTTCACTAAGTTAATCGTTTGTCCTCATTTTGGGTCCAAGTTTTCTTATGTATTCGTACCATTATTTATAATTCTCATATATTAACAGAATGCTTCAATTGGTGAAGCATTGCCAGTGGGTTCGAGTCCCGACTTCGTCGTTGCAATGTTCAATCTTACGAAATCAATTGTTAAAGAAATAAATAACATAGCTTTTTAATCAACTTTACTTGCATTTTGTATTACTTTTTTGTAACTACAAAAATCTCACGTATACCGTTTTCGTCTTAAAGGTTATTTATCTTAAGCAAACTTAATATTATTGAAAAGGCGCAGACCGATCTGTTTAACAATTTAATTTATGATCTCTCAATGTGAAGTAAATCAAAATAATTGGCAACGATTAACGAACGCAATTATTGAATATTTGTACATTTCAGTGTGTTAAGGTCGTCACAGTTCCTTGAAGACTATTGCCAATCCAGAATTGTTGCTTTGCGTACAATACTACTACATTTTAATATTTATTGTTTCATTTATATGGGTAATTTCATTTAATTTAATTAAAATGTAACACTCATTCGAAAATTATTTTAACTACGGCCCGACGTTTTTGCTTAGCAGCAGTCGGGAGCCTAAAGACGGAGGGTGTCTCTGACGTCAAAGTAAAAAAACTGCTACGTTATTAAAAACCGTTATTATTACAATGCGTACTACTCGCGTAAACTACAGAGAGTATTTAATTTCATTCAAAATAAAATGACTTTATGTATTTCTTTTTTTTGATAAAATATTGTACTTTTATTATTAAAATTAAATTTAGATTTCCAAGTCAAATAATGCACCGCTGTTTATAAATCTAGCTAGATCTAAATTTGCAAAAGTAATTAATGTTTGAGTCTGAATTTAAGCATTAAATAATTTGTATTTTATTTAAAATACACTTAATAGTCGAATTATTCGTTACTGGGTCGTTATCATAACAATTACTGACACTGACCGATTTATTCATCAATTATAATCGCCTTTATAATACAAAACTACTATAAAATTGCTTTTATACATATTAGTCTAATAATTTTTATTATGAGACATTCGTTGTTTCCATGATCAAAGAATGAGCAAGTAGAATATGAGAGCATTAAAAAAATCTATTTAAAACATAACGTCTTAAAATCAACTACCACTAAATTTGATGTTACGTCTTCATTCTTATCAGCATAAAATAATCAACACTAAGCTGTACCTAAATGGACAAGAAAGCATTACAAGCAAAGTTAGACATATCTTCTACACTACAAGTCAGCTCACAAGAAGACGATTTTATTAGAAGAAAAATATTGTCATAATGTAATCGTTCATATGCCCTTCGTTGGTATTACGAAATGACATTGAAGGCATAGGATCATGCACCGTAACATGCCACAATTAGGAATGTACTTCAATTAAAGCAACAAGTGATTTTATCTCGCGTTTCGTTGTGAAATACTTACTAAACATCCACGTCGTGTTATCTATTTATGTACTTATAATTTACTGAATTTACTTGTTTGTTTGTTTGCAAAAATTTCGTTCAAATTTTATTAAATAGTTAGTTATAAATGTATAACAAACAGAACTGAAAGAGATTATTATATTTGTTTTTAAGCACAAAACTAAAGACCTAACTTGTATAGGTTACAAATCGAAATGCTGTAAATATTCTGTTGATAAAAGTAGTTTTAACAGCAGAATGGAATCTCTCATCAGGTAAAGTGTTTGATTGTCGTAAATCATAATACTAATCTAATCTGCGATGGAGCTAAACAACTTTACTAGAGGTATAAGATCTTCGATCGACTTCCTTGGAACCTATTTTGACTCTTTATTTTCCGTTACCCTACCCGGTGTGGGGCAAGCGCATGTGTAACAGACACACTGATCAATTTTATTTATAGACAAGGAGTTCTTTCTCGTCATCGATGTAGTTGTTCTTGGAGTGGTATCTGTGCCCTTTCTAACCGAAACAATTTTTGGTTTTCTTGGGATTCTAATAGAGAACCTTCTGTGGGTAATGCTCGGCAATTAACCATTGAAGTTTTGACGTGATCTTTGGAATAACCGTGTAATACCAAAGAAAAAATCATTTTACTGTGTTAATATAAGATTACAATACAATTAGGTTTAATTTACTTTAATAGAAACTCACAATTAATCTTAATAGGCAGCGTGTTCAGAACATTCGCAAAACCAACGCTTTTGCTTGACGAAGCATGATTTTGTCATTATGCTAACCCTTTGTCCCAAGTTGGGACTTTATAACATTTACCAACATTTGGTGCCATTGTTTAAGTCTACGTTATTAGATATACGGTCTTATATTATTTTAAGTGTCTTTAAGCATTTTTTACGAATAGCATTATCTAAATAAAACACTTTAAACGGGTTAAAATGCGAAATGCATTTAACTTATTTGCAGTTTATTTTTACGACCCGACGTTTGGGATGCTTTGCTGCAGCTGTGGTCGCGGGGGTGATTAATTCTAAGCCGAAATTACGTTTACAAGTAAATGGCAATACATATTTTATTCTTGTATCATGCCGGTTTTAATACTAACGCCGTGTCTGACGAAGTGTCTAACGAGTTCGGGCGTGAGTTTGAATCCGGAGAAAATGTGATAAACTAAGTAAACTTTAATTAACACAAAAGTTTAATTAGCTCCTTGCTGTATATAGATCAAGCAATAAAGCGGACTCAAAAATCTAGATCAATATTTCACTTGGTACTTAAATTTAAAATTCAACTATAAATAAATCTTCTGTCTTAGATATTTTTGTCAGAATTGTTCTGGATTTTTTAAACTGAACAACATAATAAATACTCGTACGTGGAAAAGGTTATACGTAAGTTATATAAAGGAACAACTGGTTCCTAGTTTTATAGAATCAAGAAATTCTAGATAGACTTTTTCTAGAATCTCTGAGTCAATTCAATTATGTTATTTTTTATTTTAAGTATAACAAACACTCAAGTTTTATGTATAGAGAAGGACAGGCTAACAAAAGGCTCACTAGATGGAGGGTGATATGCCATGAAATGTGTTGTCGACCTATTTTGGCTTTGAATATTCGAAAATCGACAGTCAAAGCAAAACCCGATTAAACTACGTGGCATTATCATCTATCGATAGTGGTTCATGAGCCGGACGTTATTTATATAGACGAAGTCCATCTTTCAAAAGAGTTATAAATTGTTAAGAAACATTTTGCAGTCGGTGAGAATCGAACCCACGAACCGTTGACAAACGAGAATAAAGTCATTGTTTTTATGTGAGTTATGAATTTAGTTATCGCTTTGGTTTGTTTGGTTAAAAATTATTTCTAACTATTTGCTAATAGTGCTCGCGTCGTTAGAAATGACCACAACAAGACAATGAATGCATTACAACACGATGTTGCAAATAACTTTCAACACAGATACATTACTCGGTAATTGTAGAACTGTTACTTGAAATTAAACGCGTAGCTATGATGTCTTCGATATAAAAGATGAACAGTTTGTTTGACAAGCGAACACTAACCTCGGGAACTGCTGGTTCGAATTGCAAAAATCGTTGTGTTGATTGGACCATATATCGAGGAAAACTTTAGGATATAAAACACCAGAATGTAACTAATAAGTGCGAAATGGGGAAAAAACGATAAAAGCTATTCATCTTCGAGGATTTGCGATGCGTACGCTTCAAAAATGGTTCAAGATACCCTATATGTTTATCTTAATTAACTCACTAGAACCTTGTTTATAGTAATAAATCTGACTACCGTCTATAGTTTACGCGAGTAGTACACATTTAAATAAAACACTTTAACGGTTTAAAACGCGATATATTAGTTAAACTTATTTGAAAATGATTTTTAACTTCACCCCATGTTTCGGATGCTCAGTCTCCCCGTGACCACGGCTGCAAAGCATCCGAAACGTCGGGCCGAAGTTAAAAATCATTTTCAAATAAGTTTAACTAATATATCGCGTTTTAAACCGTTAAATTTTTATTTAAAAGTAATAAATCTATCGAATACTTCATATGACCCAAAATTTGCCAGGTCAGTGATAAAATAATAATGTGTGTTTATTCGTTAATAGGACAGACTAAAGAGGTACTGTGTTATGATGATGTAAAGAGATTATTAGACTTTAGGTTGTAGGCAACGTTTTAATTTGTCCTAAAAAATTATTAAGAACTAAGCGTAAAATAAAATAAAATAATAATTTATGTAATCCAAAATAAAAAACAACTAATTAAAGGTTTAACGCCACTTAAATCACCATAAATAATAAAACTACTTAAACTTCACGTTTCACGAAACTACTAGTTTTTATTAAACATTGTATATCTATAGTCGTTACTTTGAATTCGAAGCGTTTGTCTAAGAATTCTTCTCATATAAAATAAACTATCGTAATAGCTCAATTAATTAAACAACATTCGTTATCTATAAAAGTGAGAAAGACACATAATTTCCCATAGACGGATTTTAATTAGTAAATTATTTCTAATTGTTTATAATTATAACGGTTATCACAATTATGATCCTGCGCAGATAAGGCCAAAAGCATTGAATTTACCATTTAAGTATACTTGACACTTAAACAATATAATCTTGGAAATAAGTATTTGTTTTCAATCCCTTTAACATGAGTAGACAATGTTTTGTGTCTATTTGACTGATGATTTTATATTACAATGTATTACTCAATAAGACTCCTGGAAAGTCGAAACTATTTCTATGTCGAAGTGGCGGCGAAGTTTCTTGCCAATTCTTCTTTTCTTTAGGCGTCCCTAGTTTTTTAAAAACTGGTAATAAACGTAAATTATAGTTCTTTTTTGTATTTAATGATTTTCTGACTTTGACTTTGCCTGTTAGTTAATTAGTTTGACTATAGTTAATTATTATTAAATAATTATTGTTATTTAAATAATTTCTTGTATAAATTATAAGCCTTAAAGCTCTTTCTTCTTAATCATAGTTTACCTGTGTTAGCTCTAGGATCCCTCGCCGATAAGCCATTGAAACCGGCGCCACCAAAACTACCCAAATAACCACCGGCAAATCCAAAATTGTATTGGGCTGACGTTAACGCTATACACGCGCATATTAATAATGCCTGGAAAGAAAAGAAACAATCTTTAAGAAGAGAAAACAACATAATATGTGTTTACAGCCACAGAGTAAAGCGTAATTCTTAGTCTTAATTTCTTGAGCGTTGCATGCGGGTATAATTGTAAGAATAATGTTGAATCTTGGTTGGTTGGTTGCTTGGAAGAGATAGCTTAGTTATTTAGATTTAGCTAGAAGTCGCCGTCTGTCTTTAATTTTCAACAATTTCTTTTTGTTGTTTCATTTTGTGACAATAAAGAATATTTGTTTTTGTATCTTTTTTTTAAATAAATGTCTTTAAACCTTATATACATCAATATGGCTGGTTCGTTGATCGAATAGTGACAGTGTATGGATAATACTTAATTAACAGGTCGTGGATTAAACCCTGCTCGGGCCAATATGTTTTAAAGTATTTTATATTTCTTAGACTTCTGAAAATCTAGATATTAAACGGGGGGTAATTCGAAATTCCGTCCACGCCACGAATCATCGTCGACAAACGAAAAGGCCGTAAGTAAAAGCTTGCAGATTGTTAAGGTGTTGTATTTCACCTTTCATCAAGTGAATATTATGCTTGTCTGTCTTTATATATCATAAAAAAATGATAGCAGTGTTATAAACTTTGAACTTTTTTAGATTTAAACTGACTTGCAATACGACTAAAGAAAATAGATATCAAATATTTGGATATATATATAAAACTCCTGTTCTAAGCAATTATTAATGTATAATCCTGGCTTGTAAAGAAATATTTACTATAACCAATCATTTGAGCTCTATTGTAAAATTAGTATTACGCAAGCATCGTAAAAAAATAGTTATAATGAGAATGTCCGATGTAGACCTAGAATAAAGGAAAAGCTAGAACAAGGTTAGGTAAAGATTATTTTAAAAACGTTATTCTATTGTGCTTTATGCGATGCACGTAGTAACGATAAACAAATTTTGAAAAGCAATCAATATCAGTACAATAAAAATCTAACAACAGTTTTTTGTAATACTTGTTTACTAATTCAAAGACTATCATTAATTGTGCATAATAAAAAAATGGACAGAATAAAACCCCCACAAAAAAAAGGGGGGGGGGGGGGGGGGGGAAAAAAAAAAAAAAAAAAAAAAAAAAAAAAAAAAAAAAAAAAAAAAAAAAAAAAAAAAAAAAAAAAAAAAAAAAAAAAAAAAAAAAAAAAAAAAAACAAAAAAAAAAAAAAAAAAAAAAAAAAAAAAAAAAAAAAAAAAAAAAAAAAAAAAAAAAAAAAAAGACCCCCCCAAACAAATTGTCCGAAAATATTTTCTCCTTTCCCTCCAAAAAAAAAAAAAAAAAAAAAAACTGGGAAAAAAAAAAAAAAAAAAAAAAAAAATCGAAAATTTATAGTCTGTAAAGAGAAAAAAAAAAAAAAAAAGGGGGAAAAAAAGGGGAAAAAAGGGGGGGGGGGAAAAAAAAAAAAAAGGGCGGGGGGGGAAGCTCAACTAATATATATCGGTATATAAACAGTTAAACTATATTATTTAAAAGTATTATAAGCTATACCAATTTTATAAAGCTGAAAGTTTGATCGCACTACATTCAGGGACTACGAACGAGATTTTTTGTGTTGGAGCACTTATCGAGGAAAACAGAGTTGTATCTCGTTTAAAAGTATACATGCAAAGAAGTGTGATCTTTAGAGTTGACTTTACTTTTTAATGTTTTAATTATAGTTTGGGAATGCTAAAAAAAATTCTCTGATTTGTAAAATAATACGACATCCTGCACGTGCAATACTTATATTTGACGACTTGTTGAGAATTCAATTATTAGATACTTTTAATACAAAACGAATTTCATAGAAAAATTTATATGTTCTTATGCATTGTAGTTTTTCATTTTAATTATAACACAACTTGTGTAGGAAATTTAATGTATTTGCAATAAATTTACTTTCCCGTTGTTTTATTGAGTGCAAGGTTAAAATAAATTTAATGTTATAATAATAATTAACATAATAAACTAAAATTAAATAAAAGTTAAATCCCATTTAGGTGGAATGTAAGACATTTCTGTCATGTGCTACATACCATCTAAACTAGATGGTATGTATGCGCTGACGTTGTGGCTTTCCATATTTGGGAGTCCACAGACTGAAACGCCATTAAACTTCACGGCTTTGTCCGGCACGACTCGGAGTTTAGATATTCAAATCACCCATTTAGTATCCAGATGTCCAGACAAAGTCCAACATGTTTTAGAAAAATCATAAAACATGTTAGACCTGGTGGGGATTAAACCCGCGGCCCGTTGACTATTAACACATACACTGCTACCCTTTCAAACCCATCAAATTTTGTATTGAAACAAAACAATCGCGGAAACGTTTACATAACAACACACGTTGAACTGGTTCAGAACCGAAACTGGTGCATGAACTTGATGTGTGACCTCAAGGGAGGCCTGCGCGAAGGCGGGCCACTTATGAACTCGAAACCAGCTGATGTAGTATTAGTCATCGTGTGTGTCCCACTCCAACGAGCCAGCCACAGCGTAGACAACTTCCGCGTGGATATAAGAGGTCGTTTGCTCTTAAGTTACAATTTAATTCGTAACTTACGTTAGTTCATTTCTCGTCTATACTAATATTATAAAGCTGACGGGTTTGTTTGTTTCTTTGAACTTCTTATCTTATCTCAGGAACTACTGGTTCGGTTAAAATGTTAATTTTGTGTTAGTTAAATTAAATTATTTATTTTTATGGGGCTTCCGTTGCGTGCGCTGCGATAATATACAAAAATGTACCACTAGACCAACAATCTCATAAATAAAACACTTTTAACGGTTTAAAACGCGAAATATTGTTAACTTATTAATAACAGCGTGATGTTTCAGAACCTTCATCAATAAATGCTCAGAAAAATTGTGTTAGTACACAAAATTAATTTTGAGTACACGAAAAGATTTTTCAATCCGAATCAATTGTTCCTGAGATTAGCCCGTTCAAACAAGCAGACAAATTCTTCAGCTTTATATATAGTATTTCGCGTTTGATACTGTTTAAAGTGTATTTAAATGCGTAATCCTCGCGTAAACTAGAGACTTCGCACATCTCTCATCAAACCTTTACCTATTATTTTTAAGTAAATATTAAAGTAATTATTACAAAAGTAATTAATTTTAAGTAACGCAACTGTATATTGGCTATACAAATTTTAATTATCAATTTATTTTAGGGATACATAAATCAATTATGTATTTCGCACTAAGGTAATTAAATTTAACCTCGTCTGCATAATAACAATTAGGTTTCATTGCAAAAACAGTTTTGACACCGAAAAATTTAAAATAATTATTTCCATAATTAACGAAATATTATGTATTGACTTGTGCTATTAATATATGGGAGAGTCTCTACCTTCTTACTTTTTATGTCTTATGCGTGAAAAGACCTGTATTTAATTCCCTGGGGAAATTAATAGCTCCCGACTAACTGGGCACAGTTTTGCTACTTGTCTAAGTGAAACAGCCACAGAAATGTCCGCCTTATTCCATATACAACGAAAAATATGTTCATTAGATATTCTTACAGAATACATATATAAGAGCTAAAATTAATACGTTTAAATACAATACAAAACAAATTCTTTCACCAAACTTGTTAGGATTATAGTAATTATAGGTTTGCCCCCCAAAAAAGGAAGCCTGGGGGGGGGGGGGGGTAGACTCTTCCGGTGCATTTCGAGAAAAAAAAACAATGAAAAACTTAGTATCTACTTATAAAGTTATTATATGCTAAGTAATTAAAATATAAAAAATTAAACTTAAAAATATAGATAACATTTTGTCATACAATTACATTAATACATTTTTCTGTTTGAGTATAATTTAATTTGAGAAGAAACACTTTAATTCAAAGTTTAATTTAAAATACTAAATTGATTTGACAAATAGGCCTTTTAATTGAATTACCACTAAACACTCATTTTAACGGTTTAAAACGCGAAAATGTTTAATACATGTTTTATTCAAATGGTTATAAGCGTTCCCTAACACTACGTTAAGCGCCAGAGGTCCTAAGTTCAAATTCCGAGGAAACAATAGATTGTTTCGATTTGGCAGGGCACAGAAGTTTAATCATCTAGTTTCATGTAAATAAAACCGATCAGTGAATCGGACTCAGAAATATGTCCGTCACATGCCCCACGGGGAGAAGCGGTATTCACTTGGAGTTTAAATTATAATATAATATGTTATTTTTTAATAAAATTTCAACACTTCTCGTTGTTTATAACGCCCTAGTATCTATGTATTGTATAATAAATAAACGTGTATTGTTTTAAGACTAGGATACAGTCATCAAAGAACGTAAGCGTCCTTGTCGGGATGTCGGACTAGATTGTATGTTGAAGAATTTATGAAAATTACTAAACAAAACCTTGTTCTAGTAAAGGATAACGAGCTTACATCTTGTGAGAATGGATCGAGAGTATCGAAGTATTATATTGTTAAATTCAGTAATTGTACAACTCTATATTTGTCGTATTATGGTAACAATGCATGGCTACTAATCAACGGGTAGAGGGCGATTCCAAACTTTGTAAATTTTCTGAAACACATTAGACTTCGTCTGAAAAGCTGGCTATTAAATGGGTAAATAACACAAATAAAAAACATCTTAAATTTAATCCTGTTTCGGTTTCGGACTAGATTTCCGAATATCCAAAGCCAAAATAGGCCGATAGCACATCTTGTTTAGATGGTATATGGCTGGGGTTTTACGCACCATCAAGTGTACCCCCGTTTTAAAGGACAAAAAAGAAAACCCAGGAGGTACCAGGGTTTAATAAACTTAGAAGAGATTTATAATCATCCATTAAAGGTAATTTATAATATGCTTTATAATATGTACTTGTATCTAATATCATTAAAAAATAATTATTGAAGTTATAATTGAAATGTTAACGTAACTATTAACTTTAATTATACGATACCCTGGCATTTTAAACAAACAAATGTATTTACGTAGTTAGTTATTT